TTAAAGCTACTGAGCCTCAAATGGTTCTTTTCAACCTCTATGATGACTGGCTCAAGACTATCTCATCTTACACGGTATAAAGCCACCTCAGGGAGAGGATCACTCTAGGAGGACTGGGTGTGGATTCAGGAGAAAAGCCTGTGCCGTAGCTTTTCTTACAAGCCCCTTAATGAGGCCATTTTCACATCTTCTGCCTGTAGATGAGGAGAGAGAATGTGCTCTGCATAGGAGGTTGACTCACTCACGGGGGGTGGTTGAGCCTTATACTTTGAAATCAATTCTTGGGCTCCCAGGAAGGTTAGGATAAAGAAAGGGGCAAGGGGAGAGCCTCAAATGGCTGACTTCTCCCCACTTTCCTATATCTCTTCCCAGGCTTTCTCCCGTCTCATCCTGATTCTGCGTGCCCTACATGTGAACAATGACCGGGCAAAGGTGATCCTGAAGCCAGACAAGACCACTATTACAGAACCACATCACATCTGGCCCACTCTGACTGATGAGGAATGGATCAAGGTGGAGGTGCAGCTCAAGGATCTGATCTTGGCTGACTATGGCAAGAAAAACAAGTGAGCGGTGGTGCTGGGGAGACAGGTGGGAGATCCAGAGGGGTAAAGTGGCTGGCTTAGTATGTGGTTGTGGGGTTTTTAAAAAACATTTAGCCTCAGAAGTTTCCCAAGAAATGCTTAGAGATGCCTGTAGGAAAGGGGTAGACAGTGTCTTCAGACAGTACAGGAGATGTCCATGTTTCAGACCTTCAGTCTGATTCTTGGACGTGGTTTCTCAGTAGAGGCATTGTTGCTGTTTTGAACAGGGCATCTTTTTACTGTCCATATATTCCAGGAAGTTTCAACATTCCAGACCCCCAGGTACCACTGCTAATAGTAGTGCACACACACCCTTCCCTCCCTCCACACCCTCCTTGTCATTGTGGCAACCAAAAATGTCTGTAGGTTTCCAAATATCCCCTAGGGTGACAGTGTCAGTTCTGATTGAGAACCAGTGTTTTTGAGAATTGTCCTGTGCCAGGGCACTTCTGTGTCCAGGAAAAACGAGAGGTGGGCTTGCTGAGCAGGCTTGAGCTGAGCCTAAAGGTGCACGTGCACCGTGCCCTCCCGCTGGGAGTGTGAGGAATCTTAGTGTCAGTACAGCTTCACTCTGCATTTCCTTTACAAGTGTCTCTCAAGGATTCTCTGGGGCAAGAGTATGAGCTTCACTGCCCCACCAAGGTAAATCCTTGCCATTGAGGCAGAAGTGACCAAGGGACCCCAATGGGAGGAGATCCTTGTGTGACCCACATTGTCTCCACAGTGTGAATGTGGCATCGCTGACACAATCAGAAATTCGAGACATCATCCTGGGGATGGAGATCTCGGCACCATCACAGCAGCGGCAGCAGATAGCTGAGATCGAGAAGCAGACCAAGGAACAGTCACAGCTGACTGCAACACAGACGCGCACTGTCAACAAGCATGGTGACGAGATCATCACCTCCACCACCAGCAATTATGAGACCCAGACTTTCTCATCTAAGACCGAATGGAGGGTCAGGTAATGAAAGAGGGTTAGGGAAGGAAGGGGATCCTTGTGCTATTTAGGATGCTTGAGCTGAGGAGTGCTGATATCCTCTGCCTGTGTTCAGGGCCATCTCTGCTGCCAACCTGCACCTAAGGACCAATCACATCTATGTTTCGTCTGATGACATCAAGGAGACTGGTTACACCTACATCCTTCCCAAGAACGTGCTTAAGAAGTTCATCTGCATATCTGACCTTCGGGCCCAAGTGAGTGAGTGTATGCAACTTGCCACACTGTACCAGCACTTTATGTGCTTGAAACTCACCTGAGATTTCCTGAAACTTGGTAATGCTGGTTTCAGAATACAGGAAAGAGTAAATATACAAGGTTAGCCAAAACAGTGAGGAGAGTTTTGGCCCCTGCAAGATAACAAAACATTTTATAAAGCTGTGGTAATTTAAGAGATTACAGTAGTGGCTTAGAAGTTATTGAAGAATAGTATATAGTGTGAAGCAGATCCATATCTATGTAATAAATGTGTATCAAGTCTAGGGGATTAAGGATGCCATATGATATTAAAACAATTGGAAAAAGGAGGCTAGATCTCTGCCTCACGCCTCTTGCAATAATAAAATCTAGGTGGAATAGAGAGCTCAATGTAAACTACTAAACTGTAGGATATTAGAAGAAAATACATATGATCTTGGTGTTGGGATGGCCTTCTCAAACAGGATACAAAACACATAACCATAATTATAATTTATAATTTGAATGTGACAAAGAGTACTACATACAAAAGACAAACTAGAAATGGAAAGAAAATACTTGCATAACTAAGAGGTAATGGCTTAGCATCTAGAATAGAGAATTCCCAGAAGACAGTAAGAGAGAACTGTAGAAGGGTGGGCAAAGAATACGGAAAGGTAGTTCAGAAAAGGAACTACAGATAGCAAATAGAATATGAAGAGATGTTCAACTTTACTAGTAATCAGGGAAGTTCATATTTTTATAAAACACCATTTTGTGGCCACTAGGTCGGTTGAATTTGAAGACTGTTGATATCTTGTGTGGGTGAGGTTATAGGAAACAAGTACTTACTTTGTTGGTGGTAGCCTAAGAGTAAAAATACCACCTAGTGCTGGTTACACAGATGTGTTCAGGTTGTGAAAATACCTCGAGCTGTGTGTTTGTGTGCTTGTTTCCTTATGTGTACTATACTTCAGTAAGCATTTGGGGAGCTGTGGACCCCACTTGGGGTTCTGATGTAATTCTGAGGTGAGGTCTGTGTTTAACATTTTTAACAAGCACCCAGGTGACTGTGCTACAGGAGGTTCTGACCACATTCTGAGAAACTCTGTCCTTGTTCTTGAGGGAGGGAATGAAGCACAGAGCTGACGGCCAGCACCGAGACTCTGGGCAGGTACTTAGTGTGGCCCTGGCCCCCTTGTCTCCAGATTGCAGGGTACCTGTATGGGGTGAGCCCACCAGATAACCCTCAGGTGAAGGAGATCCGCTGCATTGTGATGGTTCCCCAGTGGGGCACTCACCAGACTGTGCACCTGCCCGGCCAGCTGCCCCAGCATGAATACCTCAAGGTAAGAGGTGGTGACAGAGCTTGGGGTGAAAGAACTGGGGCTTTCTGTTATCAGGGTGGTGGGGGGGGGAAGGCAGGCATGTTACTCATGGGTGGAAATTCTTGTCTGCAGATGGAATTCTAAACTGCTTTTTACTGTTCTTGGGCTATAGGAGATGGAGCCCTTAGGTTGGATCCACACTCAGCCCAATGAGTCCCCCCAGCTGTCACCCCAGGATGTCACTACCCATGCCAAGATCATGGCTGACAACCCATCTTGGGATGGCGAGAAGACCATTATCATCACTTGCAGGTGGGCTTGGGAGGAAGTGTGGTGGTGCAGGTATTGTGGGCCCGGCCCAGAATGGTGGCCTGAGCTCTGACTCTGTCCTCATCCTTCCCCCAGCTTCACGCCAGGTTCCTGCACCCTCACAGCCTACAAGCTGACCCCTAGTGGCTATGAATGGGGCCGCCAGAACACAGACAAGGGCAACAACCCCAAGGGTTACCTGCCCTCGCACTATGAGAGGGTCCAGATGCTGTTGTCGGATCGCTTCCTTGGCTTCTTTATGGTCCCTGCCCAGTCCTCTTGGAACTACAACTTTATGGGTGAGTAGGGGGTAGGTGTTTGCCGTGGAGCACAGGGAGTGGGGATGGAGTTAAAGGTTATCATCCTTAAAACTTGGGGCCTGGCTCTGGCTTGGAGATGGCCCAGGCTGGGTGAGGCAGGTAGACCCTTTGTTAACATTTGATGTTTCCTTCTACCCCAAGGTGTACGGCATGATCCCAACATGAAGTATGAGCTGCAGCTGGCAAACCCCAAAGAGTTTTACCATGAGGTGCACAGACCCTCCCACTTTCTCAACTTTGCCCTTCTGCAGGAGGGTGAGGTCTACTCTGCAGACCGGGAGGACCTCTATGCCTAGTTGTTTCCTCACCTCCTGCTTCAGACTCCCCAAAAGTTGGAGCCTCTTAGTCCCCACAGACAAGCTGGTGACATTCAGCAGCTTGGCCTCCTTTTTCTCTATTTTGTGCTTGTTTCTGTGTTGTTGACCTTGTGGTGACTTGTAATCCTGAACAAAGTGTAACAATAAATTTTGTATAAATAGAAGTCTTTTTTTTTTTCCCTGAGCTTAAATTCTGTGTGTAAGGGTGGTGGGAGGCTGGGCTGGGGCCCTTGTTCACAGCCAGGTGCTGGGCTCAGCGTTGGGGGCCAGAGGCCCTTTAGTCAGGGCTGTGGGGCTAGATAGCCTCTAGTTGCAGTGAACTGAAGTGGAGTTGGCTTTCACACTCCTACTACCCTCGCCACATTTGCTGGTTTCCCTCCAAAATACTTCCAAACCATCACCCCATTTTCAGTATCTCTTTGAGCAGTTGCTGCTGTGTTCCGAGCCTGGGAGCTTTGTGGCTTGCAATCTGCGGCTGTCATGCTTAACCTAGCTGCTTAAGCTTTCTGTGTCAGTCCTGGTTGGAGAAACAGGCACACAGGTGGCCAGTATGTATGGGTGCCCGGTTTGGCCATCTCCAAAGGCCAGTGACAGCTGTGCTTCTCACCTCCTGCCTGGAGTACTTGGTAGCCAAGTCAGCCCCATGACTCCAGACTCGGGTGGAGCCTGGCCTGGGCCCTGTGGGGAGGGCTCGACTGAAGTGACCACTTGGAGCTCTGAGCCTCAGCTCTTGGACGCCTGGGTGGAAGTTGGCTGTCCTGTTTTCCTGTGACCTTGGCGTTGAAATAGGGTCCAGGGGGCCTAGAGCACGGCCTCCCTTGTCCACGCTCTTATGCTTAGTTGCTCCTTCCCGGCTTCGCCTCCCCTTCCCACTACAGCCCTGAACTGCTTCCTGGGCCGGAACTGTTTGGTTTTTCCTGCCCCAGTTGGGGGGAAGGGGACAAAGCCCTTGGTGTTTGGGGTACATGGAGCCCCAGAAGGCGGCGTCCGGGGAGCACACCTGGTGGCCTCCAGTGGCCTCGGGGTCGGCAGCAGAGCTCGTGTACCATTTAGCGGGGGCCCTGGGCACTGAGCTGCAAGAGCTGGCGCGCCGCTTCGGGCCGGGGGCGGCAACCGGGCTGGTGCCGCTCGTGGTGCGGGCGCTGGAGCTCCTGGAAAAGGCCGCAGTGGGGCCAGCACCAGACTCGGTGAGTCACTGCCCCACCTCTCGCCACCCGCGGGCAGGCGGCAGTCTAACCCTGAAACTTGGACTGCCCAGCTGCAGGTCTCGGCGCAGCAGGCTGAACTGGAGCTGCGGCGACTGCGAGAGGAGAATGAGCACCTCCACAGGGAGCTGCGCTGTGGGCCACAGGGTGAGTGCAGGCCTCCGTCAGGACAAGGGCGGTCTGGGGGCCGATCTAGGGCCTCCCTCCCGCGGGCCGCCGCTAAGAACGCCCCCTTCACCAGAGGAGCGCGCTCTGCTGCGGCAGCTCAAGGAGGTGACCGACAGACAGCGGGACGAACTCCGGGCGCACAATCGCGACTTACTACAGCGCAGCCAGGAAACAGAAGCGGTGAGGTCCCGGCAACCCGAGACGGGCGAGGGGCGGGGCTCTCTCAGCCCCTCGGCGCCCCGCCCACCAGCCTCCACCTCTTGGCCCGCCCCCAGTTGCAGGAACAGCTGCACCGCCTCCTGCTGGTGAATGCGGAGCTGCGGCACAAGCTGGCCGCTGTGCAGACCCAGCTGCGCGTGGTGCGAGACCGTGAGACGGAACTGCAGGGCGAAGGGTCCCCGGGGCTGGCGCAAGAGCAGCCGCAGGACCAGGTCCAGGGGCCCGGGTGCGAGCAGAGGCAGGCGGCCAAGCGGGCAACCGTTGGCGCAGGAGCCCCGGGGACTCCTGAGGACCCAGTGAGTGCCTGATGAGGGCGGGGACCCATCTGAGTACGTATTCACAGCGCCTGACATTCAGTGGGCACTTGGGAAAGGTTTGCGGTGCTGCAGGGCAGGTCCACTCGGAAGTTGGAAGGTGGCACACAAGTTTGCGCCTTTAACTGGCCTCCACCCTCACTCTCAGCACTGGTCTGTCATCTATTGTAGCACTTTCGCCCCCCAAGACTCCCTGCCAGTCACTTCCTAGCGTTCCGGTGATCGTGCTGTGCTGGCCATGGTGGCCCTCTAACCAAACCTGTTCTTCTGCAGGCGGATGCCCTGCAGCAGCCAGAGCGCCCCCTGGAGGTAGGCCAGTGTGGCTTCAGTAGAGAGGAGCTTGAGCAGATCCTTCAGGAGCGGAATGAGCTCAAAGCCAACCTATTCCTGCTGAAGGAGGAGTTGGCCTTCTTCCAGCGGTGAGGGAGCTGGGCAGGGGCTGGGACGCCAAGGGGCCCCACTCACATCTGTTCCTGGGCCTCTGGTCACCACGCTTCATTCTTCGGCTCATTGCTCTATCCACTGGGAAAACAAGAGTTATAAAGCTTCATCCAAACTGGGGAGGGGGCCGTGCAGAGGGTCACGGGAGAGAGAGCCCACAGCAGCAGCAGCCAGGGAAGTGTTCTTAGGAGGGATGACACCTCAGCTAAGGTCTGAGGGGTGTTAGCAAGTCAGAGTGTTTCAAAAAGGGGGAAAAAAATGCACGGGTGCTTGGAGTGAGACGTATTGTTGGCATGTCCATTCCCATTGCTTTTCCCTGCCCCTCTCCCTACCCTCTAGGGAGCTGCTTTCAGACCACCGGGTGCCTGGGCTTCTGCTGGAAGCCATGAAGGTGGCTGTCCGGAAGCAGCGGAAGAAGATCAAGGCAAAGATGTTAGGGACCCCAGAGGAAGCAGAAAGCAGGTAAATCCCTGCCCTTTATCCCCACTGGAAGGAACCCTGGTGGCGCAGTGGTTAAAGCTCTCAGCTGCAAACTGGAAAGTCGGCCATTCAAACCCACCAGCTGTTCCTCAGCCTTCTCAGGAGAAGGATGTGACACTCTGCTTCCATAAATATTCACATCCTTAGAAACCCTTTGGGCAGTTCTACTCTGTCTATAGGGTCGCTATGAGTCAAAATTGACTCGATGGCAGTCAGTTTGGTTTTTGGCTTTGTCCCCGCTGAGGCAGCCCTGTCTCCCTCCCTTGTTCTGCAGAGCCTGCTGACCTAGACTGGTAACCCTCTGAGTCTGTCATTCAGCTTGAACCTGTCACCGCAGCCCAGTCACCCCCTGAGCCTGCTGCTCTGGCCTGGTCACCCCCTGAGCCTGCTGCTCCAGCTGGTCACCCCCTGAACCTGCTGCTTGGCCTGGTCACCCCCGAGCCTGCTGTCCAGCCTGGTCACCCCCTGAGCCTGTTGTTCCAGCCTGGTCACCCCCTGAGCCTGCTGCTCCAGCTGGTTACCCCCTGAGCCTGCTGCTCCAGCTGGTCACCCCCTGAGCCTGCTGCTCTGGCCTGGTCACCTCCTGAGCCTGCTGTCTAGTCTGCCCTGCTGAGCCTGCCACCTTTCTCTGGATCCAGCACTGCTTCTGCTTGCCCTGCTTGCTGTACATTCTGCTGAAGAAACCTGTTCGTGCTGCTTACTGCATGCATTTTTTGGTTTCCTGCCTTGGCTGGATCTGTTTGTCCTCAAGTCTGCAGCCACAGCTTTGTCAGGAGCCTGCTGTCTGTCAGGCTATAAACCTCACAGTGTCCTTCATCTCCCCAGTGTCTCCTTCTCTCCAGCCCTGGGTGCCCTGCAGCCACCCTGTCCTCCCTTGTCTGCTCCTGGGGGCTGCACAGCAGGCTGATGTGAGCTGGACTCTCGTTGTCACTCAGGGCCTTGATAAATGGCCCTGATGTCTCCTCTTTCTCTGCCTCAGTGACGATGAGGATGGCTCATGGCTCCTGCTCCCCAGCGATAAGGGAGACCAACCTCCACCCCCTGAGTCCAGAATACAGAGTTTGTATGTTAGGGGAAGGGCAAGGGCAAGACAAGGGGCAGGAGTGTGGGGGTGAAGGAGGGGACCCACCTGGGTTCTTCTCAGCACTCCCTATCCCGCTCCACTGCTCACCCTACTGTCCTGAGCTCTAAGCATGCCCCTACCTCCTGTCCCTGGGCCCCCTCACCTCCCCACTCCTTCATGCTGCCCTTTGTTCTCTCAGTGCCTGTTTTTCTCACCACCCTCCCTCAGCCCATATCCTTGATCTCTCTGGCTTCTGGCCTCAGGGTACTTCTTGGCTCTGCCCCCAGCTTTGGCCTGTGGTATCGGGGTGAAGCAGAGGCCCCTGGAGCTGGGACCAGCAGCCCCACTTCCAGCAAGCAACAGGGCAAAGAGGAAGCCCCACAGCAACCTCTCTTGGAGCCTGTGGCCAGCCCTACAAGCCCCAGCTCCTGACCGGCCCTGCTCTGCTCTTGATGAACAGCTCTGTCTCAGGGGCCTCAGCTGCCCCAGGGGCCTGACTCTGGGATCTCGCTGTGGGTGGATGTGTGACCTCAAATGAAAACAGAGCTCCTTCCTTCCCAGCCCTCCCCAAGGCTCTTCTGCAATCCTGGCCTGAGAGCCAGGGCTTGACGGCGGAGCTCAGCCTGCCTCCCTTTCCAACATCTCCGTACCAAGCCTCTAGGGCCAGATCACAGTGCTTCCTCCCAGTCTCAGCTTCCCCATCCATGAAAGAGAGAACTGACTACCTCCCTCCCGAGGGTTTGTGCAGGTGGCCTGAGCTAATGTAATAAAGCAACTGCCCATAATACCCAGAAATTGCTCCATGTCTGTCTGTCAGTGGTCTGTCCCCAAGCTCCTGGCGTTTTGAGAAGTGACAGTGAGCCTGAGGTTTCCTTGGCTGGCCACTGGGTGAAGAAGCTTCTCCCCTGCCTTGCCTGGGAGTGTTGCCTAATAGAAAGCTAGGGCTCCCCAGTGGCTCCCACCCCCACAGGGACCTGTGGCTTCATGCTTCCATCCCCCTCCACACTAAGACCAGCTCCTTAAGCACCTGCTCAGCCCTGGCCATTGTCCTTCCTTTCCCTTTCTTTTCACATTTCACGAGTGTCTAGACTTCCCAACACCCGCCCACCCTCAGGGAGGTGTCTCATGGCAGCCCGCCCCTCCGGCCTGGTTTCCTCAGGAAAAGCCTTGGGAGGAAACAGGGAGGGGGTTGGGAGCTGTGGGGCTGACTAACCCAAGCCGTCCCGCTGCACTGGCCGCCATGGGGCTGGGGCTGCTGCTCACGCTGCTGCTGCTCTGGGCTCAGGGGACCCAGGGGTCTGAGCTGGACCCCAATGGGCAGCACGTCTGTGTGGCCAGCAGGTGGGTCTTGTGGGATTCTGGGGGGCCGTGGTTGAACTGGTGTTGACGGACTGGGAAAAAGGAAGGTGTGGGGGAAGAGTCACAGGGCTGAAGGGAGGGGGCTTGCGGGGCAGATGGTGGGAAGGCCGGGGAAGGAGAGGGAAGGGGTTGGGGACATTGGGACTGTGACACTCTGCTAGGCCTCCTTGATGGAGCTGAGGCAGCTTCCCATAGCTCAGCCAGAGACAGTGGCCCACCCCGAGGGGCTAGGTAGCCCTGGGCCCAACTCCCTGGAGCTGCCCAGCTGACCCCTCTCTGCCCCACAGCCCCTCTGCTGAGCCCCAGTGCTGCCCAGGCTGGAGGCAGGAAGATCGAGAATGCACCATTCGTGAGTAGGCTGGCGGGGGGCGGGGGGAATCCCCAGCTGAGGAGAGGGAAGAACATAGCCCAGTGACCCTTCCTCCCTACCCTCCTGGGGCTTCTTTCTCTCTGGAGCCCTAGAGCCAGGGTCCATCCTGGGACACACACCCCTAGCCCTGAGGGGGCAGGGCCCCAGAAGCCAGTGCAAGGAGCAGGTGTGTCCCCTGGTCGCGCCCCAGCCCTCCCAACCTGAGTGGGGTGTTTTTCAGCCATCTGCGAGGGGCTGGACGCTTGCCAGAAAGACGAGGTGTGCGTGAAGCCAGGCCTCTGTCGATGCAAACCTGGATTCTTCGGGGCCCAGTGCAGCTCCCGTGAGTTTCCCATGGGAGGGTGGAGTTGCTGGGCAGAACTGGGTGAGGAGGGGATACCAAGCAGGTAGGAATGTAATTTTAGAATAGCAGGGCCAGAATTCCCCCAAGCTTCACTGAAGACTTTGAGGCCTACAGGCTGGAAGTGGGACCCACTCAGAAATGCCCTGACTCATTTGCCCACAAGGTTCAGTTCTGGGCCCTTCTCCTTCCTTTCTAACTCAGAAAATGCTAGTGATTCTTGTTAACTGCAAAATGGATATATTTCCACTCACTTCCCCACATACTTTATACACTTGAGGATGTGTGGAGAGGGGAAGGAAGCCCCCCACTGGGCTGTGGGTCCTCTGTGGCAGGAAGACGAAGGTTGGGAAAGGGGTTGGTGGGCAGGATAGCCAGAGGCAGGCAAGCCTGTGGCCACCAGGAACCACTAGGTTGGGAGCAGACACTAGGGAAACATGGCTTCTTCTGGGAACCTGGTGGGCAGCATCCAGGCCTGAGATGAGGATGAACGCCCAGCAGCTCACCTCCTGCCCAGTGGGGGATCTCCGTGGGGAGGGAGGGAGGAGGGGGCGTGAATGAAACCCTTCCTACCTCTGCAACTCTGAGCAAGCCCCTTTCCCACTCTTGATCTCTAAGCGTGTTCTCGAATGTTAAGTGTGAGACTGGGCCACTGCTAAAGGTTTTTGTAGTTTTGAAGGTTTTTGTAGTATGGGGCAGAAAGTGAGCCGCGCTCAGGAGGACAGGGTGCCTGATGTTCCAAGGCTCTGCCTCAGCTCTCGGGCGGGCCTTTTTCTTGTGGATGGGATGGATGGCGGGACAAGGATGCGTGCCCAGCCCTGAGCTCGCTGTACCTGTCCTGTTCCCCGCAGGCTGCCCGGGCCAGTACTGGGGCCCCGACTGCCGTGAGAGCTGCACTTGCCACCCGCACGGCCAGTGTGAGCCGGCCACGGGCGCGTGTCAGTGCCAAGCCGACCGCTGGGGCGACCGCTGCGAGTTCGCGTGCGCCTGCGGCCTCCATGGGCGCTGCGACCCCGCGACGGGCGCGTGCCGCTGCGAGCCAGGCTGGTGGGGGCCCACTTGCCACCGCCCGTGCCAGTGCAACCCGGCGGCGGCGAGCTGCGACCCCGCCACGGGCGCCTGCCTGTGCGAACCGGGCTGGTGGGGCCGCCGTTGCAGCTTCCGCTGCGCGTGTCACGGCTCGCCGTGCGTGCAAGAGTCCGGCCGCTGCGCCTGCCGGCCGGGCTGGTGGGGCCTCGGGTGCCTGCAGAAGTGCCTGTGCCTGCGCGGCAGCTGCAGCGCCGCCTCGGGCCACTGCGCATGTCCGCCCGGCTTCCGCGGCGAGCGCTGTGAGCTGCCCTGCGCCGCCGGCCGCTATGGGGCGCAGTGCCAGTACAGGTGAGACGCGCATGGGGGCGGGAAAGGGAGGCGGCAGGGAAGGGAGGGGGAGGGGGCCAGAGAAGTAGGGGGAAGAGGGAGAAGGAGCAGAGGGGATAGGGATGGGAATGACAGAGAAGGAAGGGGAGGAGGGAGTGAGAAAAAGGGGAAGGAAATAGGAGAGAAAAGAAATGGGGAGGGGTAGGTGGGGGCACAGTGAGAAGGGCAGGAGAAGGCGTAGGATGCGTGGTTTGCGCCACAAAAATATTCAAGGCAGGGATGAAAAAGGAAAAGAAAAAAAATGAACTCGATGCCCCATGCCCGTAAGTCCAGCCCGCCCCGCTCCTTTCATCCCGTTACTGTTAAACAACAAAAAAATACTAGTACTAGAAAGCCACAGTATTTAGATCGAGAATGAATCACGTAATAAAAGGATTGCAGGGTCCTTTTAAGACTCCGGTGGCTTTTAAACTTTGCCGAGCTCTACCCACAATAGGAAATACGTTTTACATCACCACCTCTCAAACATCACTCAACTAAAAGTTTAAGGAGACAATACATACTTAACCTTTGCTACATACGATGATACACTGTAATGTTTTCTATTCTATTTCTTTTTCTTTTTTTAATGCTAGTTAGAAAAGCAAAAACAAACATCGCTGTCGAGTCAATTGGAGTTAGGATCTGGTAAATTGATTTTATGAGTTCCCTCCTCCACCCCAACTAATAGGTCTGTCCCAAGTATATGATTACAGATAATTAAGTATCCAGAAGGGGGAAGCTGTCACTTAAGGGGTGTGGCCCCAGGTTCAAGCTGGTTTGAAGGAGCCGGATGGAATCCTACAAGAGCTGGCAGGGATCATCTGTTCAGATCCTTCATTGTATAACATGGGGAAACTGAGGCTCCAACCTCCCTGGGTGACAGAGCTTGGCCCTGGTCACTCTCCAGTGCCCTGGAAGGCCTGGGTAGGGTGGGCAGAGTGCCAGTTGGAGGGGGGTGGGCTCCATCCATCTAATCCCCAGTGCTCCTTCGAACCCCTTCCTTTCCTAGCTGTGGCCACTGCAAGCAGAATGAGCCGTGCGCTCTGGACACGGGCAGCTGTGAGTCCTGCGAGCCAGGCTGGAACGGGACCCAGTGCCACCAGCCCTGCCCACTGGGCACCTTTGGTGAGAGCTGCAGGCAGCAGTGCCCCCGCTGCCAACTTGGGGAGTCCTGTCAGCCAGACACTGGGCACTGTCAGCACTGTGACCCTGGCTGGCAGGGGCTCAGGTGAGGAGACCAGCCTGCTCAGGGTGGGGTGCACCTTCCTTCAGGATTCCCACCTCCACCCCACTGCTCCCTCTAGGATAAATGCCCCACCCTCCACCCCAGCACACATTCATGCAGCCCTCTGGGGCCTGCCTCCCTGGGGAAGGCTGAGGGCAGAGAGATGGGTGCTGAGGAGGCCCTGGGCAGAATTCTCTTCCAGCTCCCTCACCACCACTCAGGCTTTCTGCCCTCTTCCCGCTTCAGGAATCTGTGGTCTGTCATCTACTGGGTGTGGCCCCAGGTTCAAGGCCCTGTTTACACCCGAGCTTCACCGCTGAGGAGTAGCCAATTGGGCCCCTGAGCCCAGGAGTATGGGGAAAGATGGGCAGGGCCTGTGGGGGCCAGGCTTGCTCTGCCCTCCCATTGCCCAAGTCTTGCCTCATCTCAGGTGTGAAGAGCCCTGCCCACTTGGCACCTTTGGGGAGGACTGTGGCTTCACCTGCCCCACCTGTATTCAGGGGACCTGTGATGCTGTGACTGGGGACTGTGTCTGCAATGCTGGCTACTGGGGGCCCAGGTGAGGATGGGGGCCCTAGGAGGGGAGAGCACAGGGGGCCTAGGTCAGGTCCCTGTGCAATTGCTTTCCTAAACTTTCCTTCTGGGGCCTTTCCTGCTTCCCAGATGCCCACCCCATGTCTTCAGTTATTCCTTCTGTGGTGGGGACTGCATCTGCCCGAGGAAGGCCAGGGCAGGGCTTAGTCTAAAAGGCTCTCTAACAAGAACACCAGTTGCCCTCCAGTCCCTTCCGACTCATGGCGCCCCCATATGTGTCAGAGTAGAACTGCGCTCCATAGAGTTTTCAGC